TGGGATTGAGCAGGCAGACATCCCTAATGAGAGAGTCCTGCTGGGGCCTGGCCACGCCCCCCCTCAGCTCAGCTCCTGCGGAAGGGAAGGGAGGTCTGCTCTAGCGTCCCCCGGCTTCTAGCCTGAGCCACTGCAGACATGTGCCTGAATTTTCTCAGTCCAGAGAGAATGTCTGTTGAGTTTCAAACCAGTTCAGCCTAGTCAGGGTAGATTAACCTTCAAAGATTGAATCAATTCAGGCTTAGTCACAGGGGTTGTTGGCTTGCAGAGGTTCAGTCCCATTAGTTGGGTTGAGTTGTTAACATGGTGTTTACTGTTTATGCCATGCTAATGCATGGGAGGGGGCGGGGGATAAGAGTTGGCAGAACTCTGAGAGCCATGACATCTACTTGTTTATCATTGCTCTGCCGGGGGTACATCGCAACTTCTCTCCTCCTGTTTTAGGAGGAAACCTCCATCTGCTATTCCCTTAGCTATCTGCACAAACAAACAGCAGCTCTGGACACAATCCCTGTTCTACCCACTCTTTCTCTTTCTCCATGTAAAAGTAGTTTAGGGAGGTGAGAGCTGAAGGCTGTAAATTGGGCATTACAGCTGAGTGGAAGAGGTGGGGAGCAGGCCATATGAACAGCTCCAGACTTGTTTGAGCCATCCTGCATCAGACAGTGTAGGATGATTGAATGCAGTCCCATCATAACAGTGATTGCTTTAAAGCAGCCTCTGATTCTTCCTGTCCTCCATCGCTCAGCTGTTGTCAGAGCCTTTTTACAAACCACATCTTTCCTTATGCTACGCACATCCCTGATTCCATCCCCATCCCAAGTGGGTTTGTGGAGGCAAACGCAACAGAAATCTCTGTGGATGTGGTCTCCTCCCTCCTCCTGAGAAGCTTCAGGATTGATAGCGTCAGAGATCTAATGTGGATTGATGGGTAAACATAGTGTCAGAAATATTATGCAATGTAAATCTTTGGCTCAGTGCATTTTAAATATAAACGTGTGTGTTTCCTTTAGAGAGACAGAGCACTTTTAACAATCAAAGTCATATTGCAGGAACAAGGATGCAAGAACTGCAGGGACTGGCAGTTTGTGCAGTAAATCTCCTGTGTGACTATACAGCAGTAATTACAATGTGAAAGTAATAACTGAGCTGTGCTGAGCGTAAGGCCAACTCCCCCAGCTTTCACAGGATAGCATGTTTCTCACTGGGAGGCTCCTGTTTGTTAAATTAGATATTGTGCTGTATTTCAGAAAAGGTCACATTTAACCAATGCTGCTTCTGCTTTATTATCTTGGTATGACAGTGTAACCTCCACTGGCTCCCAACTGGATTTCACATTCAGCTTTGCTTTGGCTGCCCGATTTTGTGCTTCTTTCCTCTGTGATTATGTTAATGACAGACTCTGTGCTCTTTTTATTTACTGAGACATTAAAAGATGTGCAGGTTTATTTTACCATGTTCATAATTGCAATAAAAATAGGAAAACATGAAGGAGAGAAAACACTGGAAGGGGATGGAGCTGCAGCTGAATAGGCTGAACTTCGGGAAAGTTGAAATCTTGTTATTATGAGACAGTATTTTTTGTCTTTTAGGTTGTTTTTTATTATTAAGATTGTATTATGTTGGTCCCTTCAGGCCTCAGGCAAGATGTGGGATTGTGTAAAGGAGCAGGGAAGGATGGGGCATGGCCTGGGGAAAGGGAGGAATAGCACTGCCATGTTAGAAGACTCCTTCAGAAAACCTGCATAGCATAGTATGGTGTAGCATAGATCCAGCCCCTGTGCTGGGATATGCCTGTGTGACTCCCACAAGGATTGCACTGAGAGCAAATTTTGATCCTTAAGTGATCAGGGTATCCCACTTGTCTGCTAGTATTTGGTGCCCATGTTTTCATGTGCTGATTGGGGGACTGACAGAGCTCTCTTGGTAATGCCTAATGCTGTCTGGCTGCTTCCCCATATCATGGCTGCTAGGGGTGTGTGAAGCTTCAGTCACTGATTCGATTCGGAGGAGATTCGGCCCAACTCAGTGGCCAAATCTCCGAATCTGAATTGAATCGGGAGACTCATTAATCTCTTTGAATCGCATTGGAAGCCTCCAAATCAATTCAGAGAGATTCGACGATTCAGCCATAGACACAGTTTTATATGTTTTTTTCTACATACCTTCAAAGTACTTCTGGTCCACTTCTGGGTCTGCCGCTGAGCATGTGGAGGAGCTCCCATGGGACACTCCTTCTGCCCCACCATCTCAGTGTTCATGAGCTGTACCTGGTACCTTGAGGTACATAGAAAAAATATATAAAGCTGTGTCTATGGCTGAATCTCTGATTCTCTGAATCAGAATTGACTCTTCAGATTCAGATTTGGCTGAATCAAATTGGGACAGTGATCCGAATCTGCGAATTGAATCACTGTTCCCTGAATTGGGCCAAATCCAATTTGAATACTGCCCAATTCGCACACCCCTAATGGCTGCTCTCCATTACTTTCTCTGCCATGTGGGTGGTACGTAGTGTACTGCTAGGTGGAGAGCATGGGGTGAAGCCAAAAACTGGTCAAGGGGCACCTGTAGAATATTGCTGTCATGAGGGTGGCGCAAGGAGAGTGCATGACACCAGATCCTAGGTGCTACTAACAGTCTGTGACTTTCCTGATTAATGGAGGGAGAAGGACAGAGAAGGTAAAAGATACATGTATGGAAGAAGGAGACTCAAGTCTTTTCAATGTCTCAAGTGCAGGCAGAAGGCAGGGTAGATTTCCCTTTACAGCATCTGATGAAGTAAACCCTCTGCTAATGAAAGCTTATGCTGTGCATTTGATTTATTCAATCTGTACAGGTGCAAATCTATCCTGCCTTCTGTCTGATTCCAGACTAACACAAGTAACTACCCTTCTCTCTCAAGTGAAGGACAGACTCTAGGATCAGCTGATACCTTGTTATTAACAGAAGCATTGACACACGTGGAGATGCTAGCTAGAAGAGCCTCTTGTCTATCCCCCTGCTCTTAATGACAAACTGTTTCCCATTATGAATCTTCTGTCCAGTTCAGTTTTAAACAGCTCAAGCAATGCAGGTTCCTTCACTTTCCTTGGGAGGCTATTCCTCTTCCCGATAAGCTGTGAGAATAAGCCTTCTCCTCTACTTCCCCTTGTTTGTTCTGGTTATTCTGTACCTGCTGTTACCTGGAAAAAAGGGGATTTTTAATGCAAAGTGAAATGATGTTTTAAATATGGACCTTGTTAGTGGGTTTGGTTGCAAGCACCATGTTTTACACCCAATGATTTTCTCCCCTTCTTTTGCTTCCATTCCAATACCAGTCATTGCTTGCTTTTGTATTAGTAATAAAGCCAGATATCTCTGCTAACCGGTGTTTAATTAAATGATTTAAAACAAAGCAGAGTGCCCACTTTAAATTCTCCAGGAGGGGATTACCTTGCTGACATTTACATATCTATGCAATAAATATTTTAACATGTTAATTATACACTAATAAGAAAAATAACTTTTGAACTTTCAGTCAAATTGACACACAGAACTGGGTCCATCAGGGAATTAAAAGCAATTAGTTTTTGTAACAGAGAGTGGTCACATTGTTTCTTCTCTGCAAATTGTTCTGTGGTCACCAGCAAGCCTTATCCTGTCAAGTGCTTAGACATGCATCGGATGTATTTCTCACCTTCAAATGGGGTAAATCCAGCCTTATGTGTGCAAGTCCCAGGGAAGCTGATGGGAATATAGTTGGAGTAAGGCTACAGGGCTCCATCAGGGCAATTGGATCACTATAGAAAACCCATTCTCCTTACCTTGCACATTTCTTATAACGGTTATAGTGTTATAAAAACTCCTCACCTAGGGACAGACATTACACATAAACCGGTATAAGTGATCTGAAACTGGTTCAAATCTGTAACACAGCAGAAATTCAGTGCACGTAAACCACTGTCAAAATGGCTGAAACTGGTTTGAGATAAGCCTGGATGGATGTAGGCTCAAAAATATCTGATTTAGAATAAATTGGTTCATTGAAATTCTGTCGCAGATCCCCTCCAGATTAAACTCACAGTCTCCCAGTATCCTAGGATGCACTGGCCCTCCCTTGCAATGCCCCCCATTGCAGGGTGGTCAGGCTAGCCTTGGCCCAAGCTGTCTGCTCCAGCTGAGCAGGGAGGTATGCTCTTGAGTCTCCAGGGTTCTGACTTGGGCCACTGCAGGCATGTGGCTGCATTTCCAGAATCAAAAGTGATTCCGCTATCTGTTCATTTGCCTATTGGTTGACTCTATGCAGCTTAGACTAACCTGCAAAGATTGAACTGATTCACCCTCGGGCTTTTTAACTGTCTATACTTAGCCCTCATGGACCTTCTCATGGTCCCCCCCTCTGTGTTCCTGTTTCATGGGTAAAAGAACTGAGGCATGGAAAGGATAATGTCAAAAATCTTCAGGAGTTCTGTGCACCTCTGGTGTAAAGTGCCCAGGTTGGTTTTGTGAGGGCAGGGTGCCAAGCAGGCCCACCTTCAAATGACTGCCATGGTAGTTGTGTGCTCAGCATTTCTGAAAATTAGGGGCCTTAATATGGCCACTTAAAAACTGAGGCATTTGACATTAGTTGCTGGTTTCTAAAAACTGAGCAATTAGTGATTTGCCCAAGGCTACATGACACCGGAATATGTAGTTACTGTTGAAGACTAGGAAACCCTCACGTAGGATAAGGCTTTGAGTAAGGACAAGGCTTGGTGGCCATTGCCCATTTGGATCTGCTACCAGGAATTGTTCACTAGAAGAGCCCCAGCCTATATATGTAGTTTAAACCCCCATTAGATGCAGTGGGAACCTTACCTGAGTAAGGATTGCAGGGCTGGGTGCAGACTGCCTTTGTTTTAGGTGCAGAATTTACTGTTCTCTTTGTCCTGAATACAATGCACCCTGCAAATGTGCCTGTTCCAGTTTTTAGATGAATCACACTTGTAACTATCTCCCTTTTCTTTTCCTCCTTTCAGACTGAAAACTACTCTTTTGATTCCAACTACGTTAACAGCAGAGCCCATTTAATAAAAAGGTACGTAGGTTTGCTGGAAAGTGCTTCATAACAAAATCCAAATTTAGTGTTCCTCCTCTCGTTGTTATATGCACCTTTTTTAAAATGCAAAATATTGCAGGAATAATCATTTGATTTTTTTTTTAACAGTATTTACTTCCTATTAAATCCTATTACTTTTGCTTTTTCTTTTTAATAAAGGAAAGTCTTTTCTGTTTGCCTCATTAACATTGGGAACTAGCAGTGATGTAAGCCAAAATGCTGTTACTCTGACAACTTTAACATTCATAGAGTTTATTTTATTTGAATGAACAGGAATGAAATGATAGATCTGGATGGGGGAGTGCTTCCTGCCATGTGAGGCAGGGGAAAAACAAACGTGTTTAGGGCAGGTCATTTGGTTTGATACTTGTTCCCTTTTTCAGTTTGAATATTAAAGGAAAACCAACATTTTGCTGGGGGTTTTTTGTTTTTTGTTTTTTTTTTTAATCTTCCCATTGGTAAAACCAAATCATCAGCCTAGTTCAGGGGTAGGCAATGGTTTTTGGCTGGAGTGCCAAAAAACCCACAATGTCTACTTTGGAAGGTGCTGGAGTGCCAACATGCTGGAGCCTGGAGCAGCTGTTTGCAGCCTCCCGGCTGCAGCTGGCCCAAGGAGCCCGGTCTGCTTGCAGCAGGGCTTGCAGCCTCCCAGTCACCTGCTGGGAGCAATCTGGGCTTCGTGGCTGGCAGCAGCTGCTTAGAGCTCGGGCTGGCAGTGGTGTGCGGAGCAAAATGGCCTTGCGTGCCATGCTCGGCATGCGTGCCGGGAGTTGCTGACCCCTGACCTAATTTAATCCTAGCAATGATTCCCAGGTGCATTTCACCCATTGGTAAATTCTGCCCTCACTGATATACTTAGAATTTGTCATTAAGGAAAGAAATGAGCCCAGTAAAGGAACATCTCTGTTATACCAGCTTAACCCCTGTTGACTTTGACTGGGTTGCATTGAAGTAATTGAGTGGTGAATTTAGTTTATTGGAAAAAGACTAAAAGCATTCATCCCTCCCATTCTGTTTTCAAGGCTATAAAGCAGGGGTGGGCAAAATACAGCCCATGGGCTGGATCTGGCCTGCCAAGGGATTTTTATCTGGCCTGTGACAAGTCCCTCAGCCCTGCCCAGCCCAGGTGTGGGGGCAGTTTGAGCCGTGGCACATGTGCCTGATCCTGCAGTCCTCAGGCATGTGATGGGGCAGTGCAGCAACCACACTCCATGCCCAGCGGCCACACTCTATGCCCAGCTGCCACTGCCAGTCCCCGCTGCATACACTGCTGAGAATGCTGGATGGAATGGTGGGTGGGCAGGGTATCCATGGAGATTGGCTGGGGACACCTGTGGTTCAAGGCGTGTTCGGCTGGGTGGTTGGGATGGGGCCACGGCTGGGTGAGTGGGGAATGGCATCCAGGAGAGGGACGGATAGGTGTGGGCTGGGGCTAGAGCTGGGATTGTGGGGTGGTAACAGCATGGGACCGATGCCTGGGGCACAGCCAGGGTCCATTCCGTTCACATCCCTGCAATAGATGCTGGTTCTGTGGGCAGGGACATGCAGGGAGTGGATTGCAGCTCTGCCCTGGGCCCCAGCCCCGTGCTGTCACCGCCCTGGGATTCAGGCCTGGCCCTGCCCCTGCCTAGCTGTCCCACTCCTGGACGCTGTTTCATGCCTGCTCACCCGTGGTCCATCCCATCTGCCTGGCTGAGTGTGCCTTGCTAGTGGAGATCCTGGGCTGGTTTCCAAGGAGACCCTGCCCACTGGCTCTGTTTGGCACCCCTACCTGTGGGTGCAAGGTTGACAGCCTGGAACCGGATAGGACCAGTGGTGTCCCACCCCCTGCCACACCACACTGGGTCAGCACCACCCCTGCTATAAAGGATGCAGAGACAGCAGAAATAGCAGTGTGTGGCCACAATGCAAGTCAGGAAGGCTGCATTCCCTGCACATTGTGGAACTGTGTTTTATAGAGATATACTTATTACATCCCAAGTTGCAGAATATGGTTAGATGTGTCATGACAGATGGAGGAACAGGGCTGTGCTTCCATCATCCATGCCTTCACTCTCCCACACAGTCTTGTGCAGGCCGGGAGCGATCCGCAGCCCTTTTGCGCACGCGGGCTGTGGCCAGCAGCCCGGGCACGCGGGGTCGGAGAGAACAGGCGACACGCTAGAATTAGTCACGGACGCGTAATGGTTGATTTAAAGATTATTTACTTACACCGAAGATGGTCGCGGTGTAGGCTGGACAGTTTTCCAGGCACAGCTCCGATTAAATCCTCGTTTGAGGACAACGACAAGCTCGCTCTCTCCCACGGAGTTGTTGAAGCTCTGTGGGTCCGTTTATTCACTCACAATTCACTCACACGAAGTTTGCTAGGCTCCGTGGGTCCTTTTGCGCGCAGGGAAGAGGTTCGTCGAGGAGGAGAGATTCTTGGTGGGTGATTAAACCACCATTCGGTCCGAGATTTACGTAGAAGTCCACGAGGTAATCGTGGACTCCTTGCTGGAATTCTCTCGGATCTCTCCCGGAATTCTCGGAATCGGGGTTCTCAGGATCTTCCTGAGATTCTTGGAGATCTCTCTCTGGGCGGAAACCACTCAAGCCTCTTATGCGGCTAGCAAACCAATCACTAGCCGCCACGTGTGAATAATTTAGAACTAGCCAATAATGGGGCTCGAATTATCATACAAATGGCGGGAACTCTTTGCACCGTGCATCTCTGTGCTGCAAAGAAGAAATGCACACTGCAAAGAAAGCTACGAATTGGCGGGAAATTCTCCCTTGCACCGGGGTTCTCCTTTACAGCAGAAAACTCCACCGTGCAAAGAAGCTGCAATTTAGCGAGAAAATAATTTAGCAGTGCCAAAGCACACACAAAAACAAAAATCACAACTTTGGGTTGTGACAAGTCTAAGAAGTAATTTCTTTCTCTGGATCTTGGTGTTTAAGTAGGAAGAATTTAAAGATCAGGGTTAAAATTCTTCTGCGTTTTATGCTTGCAATCCTTTGAAGTCAGTGGGGCAGCAAAGGTGTAATGGAGAGCAAAACTGGGCCCTGAACTGTTTAGATGTGATTCTAGTACTAGAGGAAATCCAATTATCTCACTGGCTAAAATCCCATATATTTACGTCTTAAAAATATAGGGACTAAGGATGTTGTTACAAGTCATTGTCTTGGTTCAGCCAGTGAAGAGTAGGTCTTTTTGTTTGCTTTGTTTGTGATATTTAACAGTGATAATGTGATTGCTGGAGAGAGGCGAGTTGCCTACACCATGTCATGCCTCACAATATAGTCTGCAGGCATCGTTCTGAAAAACAAATCTATTAATCTTTTCTTCATACCTCGCATAAAGGCAAGCAGCGTTCCCAACTCCCACAATGCTGTTTACTCCAACACTGTATTGTTTGGGAAATGCTGTTACTGATGATTCTCAGGTACCTGCCCATCCTTTAGAAGTGGCAGCCGTGGAAACATGTTGTGTGGTTGTTGCATTATGGTATGTTTCACTGCAGGAAAGATAAATGCATTGTAACACAGATTGCCTGCATGATGGGAGCAGCAACTCGCTGTAGAACAATAGTCCCCCTGCCCTTTCACCTTTACTTGTCTTGTATTTGAAGCACAATGAATGTCATAAATGCTGCACAGATATTGGAGAATAGGCATATCGTCTTTTAAACACAGCGGCATAATTCTAATCCAAAAAACCCTTTGCTTTTGTGGAGATATTTTAACTCCTCTGACTTTGCTATATAAACCCCTCAAAATCTGTGATGTTACTTACTGCATTTATACCTTTACTTTTTTGTCTTTTTCTCTCCTCTTTCATGCTTCACTCATGCTTGTGTGCACCCATGCATATGCGTGCACACTCACACATGCACACACACATTAATATGCTGTTAATTTAAATTCCTTTGATGTTGTCTGGAATCAAAGTCAGTGGCTTCAACAGGGACATCTTTATTTAAAAGGTAATGTTTGAAGATTTACCAATTTATATGTATTTTTACAGTTTCTCCCTTTTGTGCTTCTGCAAAGCATTGGATGGGAGGTGGTCTATTTGGTTTCCGTGGAGACACAAAAGGCCTTTGCAAAGTAATGAAAATGTGTAATTCTTTAGTGCTTTGAAGCACAGGCCCTTCCCAGTAATAAATGATTTCAGACAAAACCAAGCTAGCTATAAAATCAGGGCCAGATAATCCACTGGTGTAAATCAGTGTAGCGCCAAAAAAGTCACTGTTGATGTTCACCAGCTGAACTTATGATTCTCTTGTTTCTTTGCTTTTTGGAAAAGCAACCCTGAAGGACATTGTGAAAAGACCTCCTAGGGAGTTAGCTCTGACTGAGAGATCCAAATGGCTTATGGAGACAGACTGTAAGCTTTATGGAGCGGGGTCCCTCTCTCCCACTCCGTACAGCGCCGAGCACAGTGGGGCCCCAATCTTGGTTGGTTTTTAGGCAATACTGTAATTCGAATGGAAAACAATCAGATGGAGGGGGATAATGTCCTTTTCTCCTTGGTCAAAATTTGGTTGGCCCCAGGGGGCTGGAGAGTCTGTAAATGAGGCCTCTCGTTCTTGTCATGTACTACCTTGCTTAGATTTTTATCCTCCCCTTTCTTCTGCTCAGGCATGCACTCCTCCTTTTCCAGGTTGTCACTTCCTTTGTAGATGAGGAGTCTGCACATTTCATTTTGATCTATATCACCTTTTCCAGCAGTAATCAATTCATTTTCCATGTCACTGAAGCAGCTTTACCTTTTCTTGTTGCTTGTGGTGTTCTGCACATGTGAAGATGCATTTCAAGATGTTCTATGTATGACTTTAATCTGGTGTTTTAAAGTTCCATGTTTTACATCATTTCACTACACTTCTCTTCCAAGTTTCTGAATTTGAGGGACTATAGAAGAACTTTTGTTGCAACCAACCTCAAGTTGTAAAAGAAAATCTCTAATCCCTCAGGTCCCTGGGATGCTTGTGATTTGTCACAGGAATTTTACCCCCATAGCTATTCTTGGGAACTTTTTCTGAGGCTGGCCCACACCTCTAGCGCTTCTTGCAGTAAGTTGTGTGTTCCCTTCCAATTCATGCTGAAGGCAGTGAAGTCCCAGCTGTAAGAAGCCCTGTGGGAACTGACCCCACAGGAAGACAAAACTGAACCTAGGAGCAGGTAGTGTTCCTCACCTGCTTCACACAAAGTCTGTAAGCATTGCAAAGTGCAGGCAGCCTTCTCCTTTAACTGGTAGGTGAGATCTCATTAGTCCTAGCAGCAGTCACCTTTATTAATCCATAAGCTTCATAAATCCATGGTTAGAAATTCTGGGTGTCCAAGTTTTCCCCTTTCACATCAGGTGTCTTTAAAAAGTAAAAAATGGAGGCACCCCAAATTATTAGTTGTGATCCATGTACAGTCAATCTTGGGCCCCTACCTGGCTTAATAGAACACAGAAATAGAGCCTTTGTTTTCTGGCAGTTTTTAAGGGTTCCCAGGAGCTCTCTGTCTTTGCTCTTGGTTCCCTCAGAGTTGTGCCTGCTTCTCATATGTCCTGGTAGAGTTAATCAGCAGCAATGTCCACAGTGAGTCAGCAGAATTTGATTCCCTGATTTATGTAGGGTTTTTTCTACTTCTAATATGGTGTGTTAATAGACGAGTCCTGCTCCCCTGAGGAGAGGGAGATCCTATCCTACTTGGGGCCTGATCCTGTGAAGAGTG